CGGTTTATTGTATCGTGGCTCTTCCCCTCGTGGTCAGTAGTGTTTCTATGTATCAAAAGTATCCCTACCGGGTTAAAGAGAAGGAATTATAGCCTGGGAGAGTTATTTACCTGCGCATGAGATTTTTTAGTTCATCACTTCGATGGAATTGAAGCTGCAGGAATAACTTTATATTTGTAGTTTAGCAATATGATTGATAATTGTAACTAATAAGGCCATTGTATCTGGATTTTCAATGAGCTGAAATCATGATGTATGTGAACACTTCATTCTTCACCAGTCCGCATGAGGATTGGAGAAACATTGTTATTTTAATTTTTCTAACATATATTACATTTTATACTATAAAGTAAAATATTCATGTAATTTGGAAACAACAATGTAGAAATTATTATTACTTTTAAATGAGACAATAATATATCTTTATTTATTTATTTTATGAGGTTAAATTATAAATTTATTAGATTAAAAGTAATAATTTTATTTGTATATTTGATAAAATTTCATAAATAGTTATGGAGGTAATAGTCCAAGCCTACTGTTATAGGCTTTCCCTTAAGATTTTAAAACAGCTCAAGTTTGGCTCGTTTCCCGGTGTGAAATCTCACAATCCGCAACATTGTAATAGCCCAAGCGGATTGGTATGGGCTTTTCCTCTTAGGCTTCCTCTAAAGATTTTAAAATAGTTCAAGCTTGACTCGTTCCTCTATCCCACCCCCTTGGGGGCCAACGTCATCACCGGCACACCGCCCGATGCCTGGCGTCCACACCTTTATAATGGATGTTTCATGTCATCGTTGTCACATAGCTTTTACACTCTTATAAGCAATGTTTCATCTCACAATCCACCCCCTTGGGGCCCAGTGTTATCGTTGGAACACCGCCCCGTACCTGACACTGATACCATGTGTAACAGCCCAAGTCCACCGCTAGTCGATATTGTCCTTTTTGGACTTATCCTTCCGAATTTTCTCTAAAAACTTTTCATAGTGGTTCGTTCTCGTTTTGGGACAAATTGTTTGTAATTTAACCATTTTATGAAAGGTATGAATTTTTGGAGAAAAAGAAACGGAAAGGTTGTAACGTTTGAGAATTGATTGGAGGGGGAAAGAAAGGCCGAAAGTAGAGGATGAAGGTGCGATCAAGTTTGGCGCGTCCACGCAGAGCAAGGCCCAAAGGAGGATAAAAGCGTAAGGTGGTTGAAGTTTTAAGCATTTGACTTCGGCGTCTTCGTCATCGTTGGCGGTTTCTCCTGCGTGCAGGTGCAGGTGGAGAGAAACGAACTTTTAAAAACCTCTGACCCATACCCCTTCCCCATTTTCCTTTTCCATCGATCTACCTATCTATCTATCTTCTCGCGCCACCTTCCCTTGAATCTTCTTCGCTACGCTCATATTCCCTTCATGGCCACGGTTTCTCCTCTCGCCAAGTACAAGCTCGTCTTCCTCGGCGATCAATCCGTTGGCAAAACTAGCATTATCACCCGCTTCATGTACGACAAGTTTGATACCACCTATCAGGTCCGTGTTCTCGTTGCCTTGCGTCTTCTGTTCTTCATATTTTAATTATTTCTTTTTCTCCAATATTTTCATTTGGAAGTCTTGATACATTACGACCTTGTTTTTTGGTGCGTCTCTGTTGTGTTGTGTATCTCAATCCAGATGGAAATTTCTTAGGATTCATGTGGATCTGAGTTATGTGGCGTTGTTTCGAATTCGTACTCGATGTTGTTTATGCATACCATCCACTGATGACTCGCTTTTCTTACCGATTATTAATCTTTTTGCAATCGATCAGATTTATCGATTGATTTAGATTACTTTTAAGATTCAGCCACATCCTTTCTTCGTCAATGGAGAAGTTCCATAATTTCTGTATAAAAAAAGATACGTATAACAGGGGAAGAGGAGGGGAAATTACTTTTAAGAGGGTTGACTTTATGCACTATCAGATCATCTAGCGTTCGTTAAATTCAAGGGAAGGAGCGGAGCAAATGGTTCATGCTTTAATAAGAAAATGTATTTCAGGGCCAAGTAGATTGGAACTAGAATCTTTCAAACCATAATTATGCGTCGTCTGTACATTTCATCCATACTCTGCTCGTGGGCCTCCTTTCTGCATGCTGACATAACTTATAATGCAGGCTACAATTGGAATCGACTTTTTGTCCAAAACAATGTACCTTGAAGACCGAACAATTCGGTTGCAGCTTTGGTATGCCTTGCTTATTTCTCTCCGGTCATGTAGTCAAGATTTTATTTCCTATCAGTCTTGGTTTCGGCATTCAGGCTCTTAAGTTAAAATTCTAGTTCTTTTCAATATGATGTAGATTTCAGATTCTTTGCCATCCAATATAAACATCCATTGAAATAGATCATAGAATTGTGCGAAACACAGATGGGACACCCAAAACATTATTTTTTTATGCCTGGTTTGGAGAAAGTTAAGCATAATTATAGAACACGACGTTTATTGCATTAAATTTCCTATAGAAGGCTGATAGAACATGTCGATTTGACTTTACACATTATTTGTCAATTTAAATATTCGAACTGACATCTATGTGTTGTTTGATATGCATTTAGTTTTCTCTAAAACTTTAATGCCTCTCATTCCACAGGGATACTGCTGGACAAGAAAGATTTAGGAGTCTTATTCCAAGTTATATAAGAGATTCCTCTGTCGCAGTAGTAGTCTATGATGTATCTAGTTAGTGCTCTCTCTCTCTGTTATTGTTGGTTGTGTGATGCATCCTGGTTAGTTGTGGCTGATGTGATAATAGGTTTGGTGTGAAAACGTTATTATGCAGATAGACAATCATTCTTGAATACTACCAAGTGGATTGAGGAGGTACGAACAGAACGGGGCAGTGATGTGATAATTGTTCTTGTTGGGAACAAAACTGATCTTGTTGAGAAAAGGTGAGGAACAGATTTTTAATAGGAACAAATTTGACATTGTCGAAAAAAAGTGTGGAATGAGCTGTTCCTATTATTTATTATACATATTAGGATCAGTATAAACTTCTTTGAGGAGTTTGGAGATTGCATTAGGGGCACCATTTCTGTTTATACTTTGAATGCAATGATGAGATGGGATTTGAGCTGAAGTTGTTATTAACCTTTGATTGCATGTACTGAAGACCTAAGCTGACAATTCTTCAAATCCTATGAAATTGTCTGAAAATCTTGAGCTTAGTTGCTAATTCATATTTGTAACTGATTTATAGGCTTTGCCAGTGTCTATTAAAACCGTTGTCCATTTTTCAGAAGTTCTCTAAATTCTGTTTGCTTGGTGACAAAATCAGGCAAGTTTCAATCGAAGAAGGTGATGCCAAATCTCGCGAGTTTGGAGTCATGTTCATAGAAACTAGTGCCAAAGCTGGCTTCAACATCAAGGTAACGTTATTCTTTGATTTCTAAAACGTAAAATGACAAAAAATTAAGAATCCAAAGTCCACTTTGTACCTTTTTGTTCACAAGGCATGAAATTACCCCTCTTCGCTAAATTTGCATTTGTTTCTCTTCTTTGATTGGTCTGTAGATGTAAATTTGACTTACATTTTTATTGAAACAAATTTTGCAGCCTCTCTTCCGTAAGATTGCTGCAGCGCTGCCAGGGATGGAAACTCTGTCTTCTACAAGGCAGGAGGACATGGTTGACGTAAATTTGAAGCCTGCCGTGAATTCATCCCATACGGAACAGCAAGGAGGAGGTTGTGCGTGCTAGAGGATATGTAAGTTCAATACATAAGAAAAATGCTGCAGAAATGAAATAGTAAACGCAATCATTCACCGGTGAGTTAGTTCAACAAATTGACATCCGAAATTTTCTAACGATAAGATGTTTGTAATATTGTATGCCATTAGATTCTTTTTGCGTTCCCAAAGAACAAAATCATCATTTTGTCCTCCCAAGTGCTGAGATTTTCATTTTGGATTTGTGATGCCCTTCTACAACTTGACCAACTATATCTAATTGCAGAGTACTTGAAACTGTTCCATTGTTTATAATTATATCAATATTCAGTGTTCTTTCTTAGAAAATTCTCTTTGGCTTGGCTGTTCACGTTACTAGTGGTCAGCTCTTGTGGCCACAATCCATAGAACCACCCCCAACTATATAGTCCATATCAAATTTATGTACATTTTCCATACGAACCAATTCTATAGTAATAGTAGTACTAAATGGTTGAAGTGGAATAATGATTATCTCCCGAGTCTTGTAGAATTGAAGAATTGAAGAATTGAAGAATTGATGGGGTCTTATTCCATCAACAAGTTTAAGTTGCAATATTCAGCAAATTATTGAGTACATTATCGTTCTTTATATTCATATTGATATTTCTTTTGCTAGAAAATGTAGTAGAAATCAGTTTTTTCTATGATATTACAAAAAAAAAAATGGATTCAAACTTCCATAGAGTGGAACTAGGATTAGTTCAGCTGATAGTCCGTGACCAATTTGCTTTGAATGATTTACCATCATGAATTTGGTTAGGTGTAGCTTGGAAATGAAGTATTGATTGGGAGCAAATCAATTAGGGTTTGGTTAGGTGTAGCTTGGAATTGAAGTATTGATTGGGAGCAAATCAATTAGGGTGGTTGAACAGGTAAAGTTGATGGGCACACGGTGTGCCGTCACAGAATCAAATTCACATGCTCCCAAGTGCGTTAGCTAAGCTCATGGACAAAAAAAAGGAACAATGTTGGTAGAAGGCTTCGACCTTATTCATACGATCGAGACCTGAAATTTTATCAGTTGTAACACTAGGTAGGTGGAATCAATTGGAGTGTGAGCTGCGTTTGGTTGAAAATGACGTTCTTAATAATCCAATTTGAATTCCAATTCAGAAAACCACCATCCCATCTCGACCTTCTTACAAGAATAATCCTTTACTTTCAAACAGGTGTTATTAAGACAGCAAATTATCCACTCATAATTAACACAAAATTAAGCCAAACCTTTCATATTATAAAGATTAATCGCTTCCACTAGGGTATCTGTGGAGCATATGCTCATAACTGTTGAAAAGGGCGGACAACACAGAAGCCACCAACGCTCGATGAAACTTAGGCGAGGTTTTCCTCTGCACAAGAAATGGCATCAGCCCTCAGCAGCTATAAATTACTAGTGTCGCCATCTTCCTTCCTTTCATGTTCTTTGTTTTTTATTTCCTTCTCTCGTCTTGTTCAACCTTCTCTTTCTCCGCTCCACTTCCTTCATCTCTCTTCATAAATTCCCAACTCTTCTTCCTCATGTTCTTGAACCCATCGACGATCAGGTCCTTCTCGCTGTTGGTCAATCCCAATACCCACGTTTCGATCTCGCCAAACCCTCTGCAATGCACGGAAAGCACCCATCTTGGTTCACCCACTTGATCAAGTCCGACACCTCTGATTCAATCTTCCTCGGAGGGTTGTTTCTCGACGATAATCTCCCTCCCTCTTTCATTTCGCTAATCGCTTCTAAAAGCTCTTCTGGGTCGGCTACATTTTCTTCTTCTCACAGTCCGCTCAAGACTCTCAACCTCCAAATTTTGGGTCGCCGAAAAAGGGGGATTTCCGATGGAAGTGGGTGCCGATTTTTATCTGTGAGCCTGTCTGCAAATGGAAGTGGCGAGAATGAAGAATACACTCGGCATGCGGAAGGTTTGTTGGGACAAGATGGGAATAAAGGTTCGGTGCAGCATGAGGAGGAAGAAGAAGAGAGAGATCAGAAAGCTGTGTTGCGAGGATCTGGTGCTATGAATATGACCAAGCATCTGTGGGCCGGAGCTGTTGCTGCTATGGTTTCCAGGTTTCCTTCCAATCTCCCATTCTTCATTAATTTTCAACATTCAAATTCAATGATTTAATAGGATGTATCATTATTTTCCAGAATTGAATTAATGCTGGAAACCCAAAAACCTTGATTAGATCGTCTTTCTATTCATCTTCATATGGAAAAGGGCTTCTTCATTCATGGCATGTCTATGAATATGAATGCATGACACTCTGCCCTGCATAAAAAATGTTGTCTGGTTTTAACATCATTAGATTTGGTCACCCGACATGTTTATTCATGATGAATTTGATCTATGATAGATCTTTCGTTGCCCCTCTTGAGAGATTGAAGCTGGAGTACATAGTTCGTGGTGAGCAGAAAAAACTTACTGACCTGATCAAGACCATAGCAGCTTCTCAAGGTCTGAAAGGTTTTTGGAAAGGAAATTTTGTCAACATTCTTCGCACTGCTCCTTTTAAGGCTATCAATTTCTATGCTTATGATACATACAGAAATCAGTTGTTGAGGTGGTCTAGAAATGAAGAAACTACTAATTTTGAGCGGTTTCTCGCCGGTGCTGCCGCCGGAATTACTGCAACTATACTTTGCATTCCTATGGACACCGTAAGTCTCAATTAGCAATTTCTTTTATAGATGAAGAAGCATTTTGACCTTTAGTTCTCCATTCTGCTGATTGTTATATTTCATAGATTGAAGTTTCTGCATCTTCATACAGAGTTTTGTGAGTTGTGCTCTTGTTTGCATGCCTATCGTTTTGATACTTTCATGTTGTTCTGGTATCAAATTGTTAGCTATCTATACTGATATTGACACCAAGGGACAGTTATGAGTATTTAAACTACATAATTCGGATTGTTATCCAATTTGGGAGGGCTATCTATTCTCACCCTTTCACTGCGCCACTCACATGAATCGCAAGACACCCGAAAGCTGAAAGAAAAATCTTACGTTCTATTTACAGTGCATACAACCACCCCGCTGCCTGTGGTGGTTGTATTTCCTTTTTATCGTATACTCGTATACTTTAATCATTGGAGACCTAAGTTCTTTGTGTCCTTTGTTCTTGCAGATCCGGACTAAGATGGTGGCACCAGGTGGGGAAGCCTTGGGTGGTGTTATTGAAGCCTTTCGTCATATGATCCAAACTGAAGGCTTCTTTTCTCTTTACAAGGGCATAGTACCCTCAATTATAAGCATGGCACCATCAGGTGCTGTGTTCTATGGTGTTTATGATATATTAAAATCAGCTTATCTCCATTCACCAGAAGGAAGGAAAAGAATCCAAAATATGAAAGTAGGTGATCAGAAGTTGAATGCTTTTGAACAATTGGAATTAGGTACGATTAGAACGTTACTGTACGGTGCGATAGCAGGGGCATGTGCTGAAGCTGCTACATATCCATTTGAAGTTGTGAGGAGGCAGCTCCAAATGCAAGTGAGGGAAACAAAGCTGAGTGCTGTTGCAACTTGTGTCAAGATTGTTAATCAAGGGGGTGTCCCTGCTCTTTATGCAGGCTTAATTCCTAGCTTATTACAGGTGCGCCACTGATCTCTCACTAACTACTTCTTTTGTTCATCAAGATATGTTTGTGCATACATTCATTGATAGCTTGGTAGATTATATATGAATATGGTATCTCAAGAACATACGTTTCAAAGTATTAAACAAAAACTTGTGAAATGAGTACTTGCATCTAACTTTCAATTGCATGATGGCCGAATTGACCATGTCGAGTTTCTTGACTATTACAAAATGTACATTAGATTCATGAAGACGATATGAGATTCCGACCCCTCCCTTCTTTTGCACTAGTTTAAGATATTGGTATCTGAGGGCATCCAGTTTGTCCATTTAGGACCTTCGTTATATCAATTGATGAACGAGCTCAAACGGGTTTATTTGATTCAGCGTAATTAAGGCTAATCTTTGATAATTACAGGACTCTTAGCTTCTATGTGTGCTTCTATGGTATCCTTGTATCTATGGAAATGCAAATAAAGCCTGCAACAACCAACCTTCCACAAGTATGATGGCTTTCGGCTTTTTCTTTGAGACAAAACTTTTAACCTTTATGTTTTTGTTTAAGAATAAAAGTTTCCTTAGGATAGAATTTGGCTTGCAAACATTCCCCTATTGTGATCCACTGTGAATTGGTCTAGTGATCAATAAAATAAAAGCTAATGCAAAGAGCTTAGAAGGAATGAGTACAAGTCACGGTGACTAACATCACGGGATTTATAATAGCTGCAAGTTTTCTTAGCAACCAAATGTAGTAAGAACAACCAAGTGTCGCGACACAAACTGGCATTTATAATAGCTCCGGTTGCCATCTCTTGTCGATTCGCTTAGCATGTCGAGTTGTTGATTTGCATAATCATCTGTTTATGGCTTTAAGCTCCTCATAATCTAATGTTTTTCCTTAATTTAGGTCTTACCATCAGCAGCAATAAGCTATCTTGTGTACGAGTTCATGAAGATCGTCCTGAAAGTAGAATCATCGTGAAGATTAGAGCATGCATCGCTACCGTTTGACTTCTATAGCTTTCAGGCCAAGGTTCTGGAAGAAGAGCTATGATCATTTCAGTGCCCTTGTTGACATTGTTTCTGGGCAACGTTTCTATGGCTATCAAAATAGCATCTTAAATTTGTTTTTCTTTCCAATTTGGGGTGACAGTGAGGCACAGATCATACTTTTCAACACAGTGCCCAGAGCTCCAAGTTCGAATGGATCGATATAAAATGTTAAGGATAGATAACTTATATCTGATCGTATGATCTTAATTTTTTTTTCTTTTTTTTAGAATGATTTTTATATTTTCGTCTTACGTTTAACAATGTTTCTCTAAATAAATAAGTATTAACTTTAATTAAGTACCAAGGGAAAGCATATAATATTTAATATTTATAAGTGGAGGTTCATTATTCATTTTATTAACCCGCTGCCCGCTGCCCGCTGCCCGCTCTATATTTTAAATATAAATATTACAACTTGTTTATTTGTTTTTTAATTTCTTACTTCTTAGGAATAAGTGCATTGAATCTTTTTATTTTTTACTCTTTTTATTTTTTTCTTTATGTTTTGGGCACGTCAACGAGGTTGGGAATATGATTTAAATAAGAAAAAAAAAGTCGTGTATTTTCTTATTAATAATTTCCTTTATACTTTATTGATTATAAAGAACCCAGAAATTAATTAATTCTCTTCTTTGATAAATTATGTTTTTTTTATTTATAAATAGTTATTAATTGTAAAGAAAGTTTCAAATATATTTTTTTATTAATTTAAAAAAATGAATATCTAACCTGTCTGTGTTGGTCCAAAGTTCGGTCATTAATTCATGGATCCACGAACCACCCAAAACGGTGTCATTTTGAAGGCAGTTCCTACTTCCTTTTGGCGCTGAGAGAGTCCAACATTTAAGTCAAATGCCGCTACGATCCAATTGAAATCATCTCCTCCTCGCGTAATCTCCACCGCCATGAATCCTCCCACCTTCCCTATGGAATTTTCCGGCGATCCACTTTCGACGAATCTCACCGGAAGTGATGACCCGCGGATTCCGTTGCAGAACCTCTCGACGATCTCTTCCAGAATGGATGCCGTCCAAATCTTCCTATCCGAGAACATCGACAGAGAAATTCGCATCAGCAATCAACAGATGGATGCGGTTTCGTCTGAAATCGCCTCCGCAATCCAACAGATCGTCGTCAACGGCGCTGCTCTTCTAGCCTGCGCGCAAGTGAAAACCTCGAATACGCCGGATTTGAAAGCCTCGACGAGTCGAACTCATTCGATTCCGGTTACAGAGAAATCAATGGCGGAGCTGAAGGTCGAGGGTGTAGATGAGATTACGAGAATCGAATCCGAGGATTTTGAGATGGATTGTGAAATAGTGGAGATGGACGCGATGGAACTGCTAGCGGAGCACATCCATTTCTGTGAAATCTGCGGGAAAGGGTTCAAGCGGGATGCGAATTTGCGGATGCACATGCGGGCCCATGGGAATCAATTCAAGACCCCTGAGGCGTTGGCCAAGCCGTTAGATGGTGTTGTCGTGGACCACAAGGCGAAGCGCACGCGGTTTTCGTGCCCTTACGATGGCTGTGTAAGGAACAGAACGCACAATAAGTTTAGGCCGTTGAAATCGTTGATTTGCGTCAAGAATCACTTCAAGCGGAGCCACTGCCCCAAGATGTTCTCCTGCAATCGCTGCAACAAGAAGAGTTTCTCTGTAATGGCGGACTTGAAAAGCCACTTAAAGCACTGCGGGGAGTCGAAGTGGCGGTGTTCGTGTGGGACGACCTTTTCCCGTAAGGATAAGTTGTTCGGCCATATGGCGCTGTTCGAAGGCCACATGCCGGCGGTGGCGGACGACGACGATGGGAAAGGGAAAGCCACGGCGGCGACGCCGGAAATGGATGAAGATGGGGACAGTAATCGGATTTCGAAGGACGTTAATTTCCCAGACGCCTGGAATAGTCCGGATGATGGATCTTTCGAATCGTTTCTTGATGGGTTTGGTTCGATTGAGAATCACTGTTTGCAAGAGGTGCTGGGATTCCCTCATAGTTTCGATTCGGAATCGGAATGGAAATTTTGTTCTGATTAGAGATCTGTCCATACGAAATTCTTTGTTTAGATTTGGAAGTCTCATCGGTCTGCATTTGATTCATTTGCTTTTAGTTCTTCACTCTAATTATTAGATTTGTCTACATTGAAACTTGAATTTTGAAATTATTACTCTGTGTCAACCTAGAACTTCTTAAATCAAGAGATAATAAATTGGAAATCAATGGAAAAACCGCAAATGAAAATGAAAAACATTGTTTAATTATTGCAATATTTTATTCACTTACTGCATTTTAATTGATTAAAAACATTCTATTTCAAATATAAGTATATCTATGAAATTTAAAATTTTTATATATGAATGAATATTTGAACTTCTCCGTTGATATGTCAAACAAAGTTGTGTCTCTTCAAATATTGAAGAGTCAAGTTCCTCATTTAAAATGAGTGTGTTCAAGTTTAAGTTGAATATTGATTATATATAATGTAAAATATTAAAATAATTTAATGCGAAAAGACAAATATATAAGCAGACTATTTAGTGCGTAAATGAATTTGGAGAAGAGAAGGGAACGCAATTGGCTTTATCAAGCACTTTGGGTTTGTCCCACATCGACAGATCTGAAAAGAAGAGAAGTACCACCAGCTATAAAACAAAATCAATGGGCAACGTTCGAACATACTTACCTGGACGGGGCTTTTGGGTGATCATCAAGGCCCATAGCCTAGGTTGGTGACCTCCATTGCACTTAGGAGGGGTGCCCGCCTAAGGTCTGTCCAACGTGGCAGAGCCTACGTCATAATTTGTGGTAGTGGGGGCCTGCGTTCGCGCGGCCCCTACCCATAACAGTTTAAATGTTGTAAATCCATTTATAAGGGCTTATTTGTTTTTATAAAAAATTATATCAAATTCTTGAGCCTCTTATTTGCTTTATCTAATTAGATAATTAAAATATTGAATATTCATACAGAATAATAGCGCGCTTCTTCCTTGCTATACCGTGGCCTCTCATGCTCTTCTCATAGCCAACACCACATTTTACACGCAATTGCATCATCATTCATTTCTAACGAAGGAATTCCAATTGCATCATCATCAATGGATTTCTTTGGAATTCCTTCACATAATCCCCACTTTTTTCCAAGGGCATTTGATCTCTAGGCATGATATTACTCCGCTTCGAGATTTTGATCATACTCCGCTTTGAGGCTCTCTTGATATTATCCTTCAAGGCTGTCTTCTATATTGTTCACTTATAAGCTCTCGATCGAGGCTCTCCTCCATAATGATATGTTATTGTCCACTTATAAGCTCCGAGTATATGATATTATCCACTTATATAAGCTCCGAGGGTGTAGGGGAGAGAGTTCAACCTCCACAATGGTATGATATATTGTCCACTTATAAGTCTTCGAGGCCTAGTGGAGATATATTTCTTAATTATTACTTATAATTCCATGAATCATTCTCTAAATTAGTTAATGTCTAACTCCCTCTCAACAATCCTTAATCCTCAATCCTCAACAAGTGTGACTCCGTTTCAAACGTGAGTGTTGGCTTTGGGTAGTTCAGATATCTTTTGTTCAATGAAATCACTGTTAAGACGTGGTTGATTGGACTGTCCTTATGATTGGGTACGTCCAGAATAGTGAGAGCGAGAAGGGTTTGAAATGTGTCTGAGATGCATAGTAACGGAGGGACCCCAAATTATAGAACATTAGGAAACAGGTTTCAAGCTTGTGTTGATCTGAATGCTTTAGTAAAGGGCAGAAGCTTACACGGCTTGGACTGGAATTATTGGTCGGTCTGTTCACTGCCATGCGATTAAAAACTCTAATAATCGAAAGCGCATCAATAGCTACTCATCTCGCTGCCTAAGATATAGGGGAAAGAACCCATCAGTACATTAAGGAGAAAATGGATTTGAGAATTAGTTGGGCACCTGAGAAGGTAAATCAGTCCAGCTCCTCTTGGTATCAACTATAACCTTAACCATCGACCGACAGACATTGTCTGAACAACAGCATCTTATGATGTCTCTTCTGATAGTGCATTCAAAATGTATACATACATACACCTGTACATTGTGGAAATGCCAAACCAATTTCAGCAGCAAAAAATTTCCTGGAAGCTCCTTGGTTATCATCAATTCAACGCTGAGAGTAATTGTCTATCTTGGAGTGGCAACGTTTTGTAGAAGAGAGTCTAAGTCCTTCAATCTGCATTTATGGTGTCAAAAGTAAAACTTAAACTAGAAGTGGAGAGAAAAAAAAAAAAAAAAAAAAAA